CTCCGCCGCGGCCGACAAGGCGCTGCGGCCCGGCGGGGTCACCAGGGGCGTGCAGTGAGAGGCGGGGCTCCCTCGCTTCCTCAGGGGTGCTGCCGCGTGAAGCCGTGGCTGAGCTCACAGGCGACACACGTGAGAGGACCCCCCACGCGGGTGCATGATCCCCACCGGATGAGAGGCGTGCCCCCAGGGCTCCCACAGGGCCGCTGGGCCCCCGGAAGAGACTTGGGGGCCTCAGAGGGAGGTCTCCGGCATGTGAGGGGGCCCTGGTCCACGGCCGTCATTTCCCACCAGCACTGAGCTACAGGGACCCCTCACTTATCACACGGGAAATCGGTTTTTATCGGCTGACCCTGCTAATGGGAAACTTACGGAGGCAAAGAGCAGAGTCAGGGTGAGGCGCCAGCGGCTCCCCCTCGGCCACGCGGGGCCCGGCAGGCCAGTGCTGCACCCGGCACAGAGCGCCCCTGCGCACGGGGACACCGGGCTCTGCTGAGGCCCTGCGGCTCAGTGCGGGACTCGCGCTGCCTCCCCCACCACCAGCAGGGCGCCCGGAGAAGGGTGGTGAGCAGAGAAGGTGGGAGCGTCAGGGTGCCCGTGCCCTGGGCTCTCTCTTGGGGGGACACCGAAGATGATGAGGGGACACAAGAGCCGTTTAAAATGTAACTTTCCTTTGAAACCTTTAACTTGCTATTACAGCTGATTACTTCCACCGCTCACAATGTGATGGATGAGTGTGCACGGCCCTCATGGCTGAGAGTGAGACTAAGGGGGCTCAACAAGTGACAGGAGAGTCAGCACAAACGGCCACAGCCCGGGTGTGAACGCGGCTTACTGTCAGGTGTGGATGAGCCATGGCCTGGGTGTGAACGGGCCATGGCCTGGGTGCGAGAGGCCCATGGCCCGGGTGTGAACGCGGCTTACTACCAGGCGTGGACAGGCCACGGCCCGGGTGTGAATGCAGCTATTGCCAATGCGAATGGGTCACGGCCCGGGTGTGAACAGCCCATGCCTAGGGTGTGAGTGTGGCTTATCACTGGTGAATGGGCCACAGCCTGGGTGTGAACACAGCTTATCGCTGGTGTGAACAGGGCCACAGCCCGGGTGTGAACGGGCCCACGGCTCTGGTATGAACAGAGCCCCACGGCCCGGGTGTGGATGGGGTCCATGGCCGGGAGGTGAACAGAGCCCCACAACCTGGTGTGAACAGGGCCACAGCCCAAGTGTGAACGGGCCCACGGCCCAGGTGTGGGCACAGCAGACACCAGCATCAGGAGTGTTTATTCTAACTTGTTGCTGAAAGCCAGTCCTGAGGCCGGTGTCTTATGGAACTCAGCCCAGCTGGCGCCAGAGCCCCGAGTGGGAGACATGAGCCTCTGTGAGGCAGTGGCCTGTGGTCAGCTTCAGTGGCTTGGATCTGTTGGCCCAGGATGCCAAGAGCTGGTGGGTGGCGGGGAACCCTCTGCCACCTCCCAGGAGGCCAGGTGGCCAATTTGGTGGGAAAACCCTGGGTGCCAGCAGGTGCTGCGAAGGCCCCGGGCCCGGCCTGCAGCCAGCAGGCCCACGCGGGCAACATCACTGCCCGCGTGGCCCCGCGGTGTGCGGCTCCCCTGGGAGGGTTGGGGGCTCACCCTCGCGGGCAGCTCTACCCCACGCCCCGGGAAGCTTACCTTCAGCCGTGCCCGCGAGACCGTCGGCTTTGAAGTTGCTGGTGCTTTTCTTCCTTCGGTGCTTCTTTCTGTTGGCGTGGGGGGAGGGGGGCGGGTCGAGCTTGGGGCTGGTGGTGCTGGAGATGCTTGGGCTGGAGCACACGGAGTCCCCCAGCCCCGTGTCTGCATCGGACCGGAAAGGGAAAGGAGGCCAAGGTCAGCGACACGGAAGAGCAGGGGGCCAGGACGCTGAGCCAGCGCGCAGCTCTGGGGAAGCCCATCTTCTCGGCCCGGACCCCAGCACCGGGCAGAGGGAGGAGTGGGGGTGCCCCTGCGTGGGGCGGGGCTCCCGCCTCTCTTCTCCTGCCCCCGTCCCCTGCGAGGCTGACATATTTCATGGTTCCTGAAAACTCCTCTTTCCTCCCAATATTCATGAGCGCACTGGGACGTTGGTGCAATGTTCAGCTACCCCTACAATGTAAAGCCCCAGGCACAGAGTGGTCATCCACCAGGAGGAAAACTTGACTTGTCACACCTATCTTTAGCTTTAACAGAGAAAGGGAGAGCCGCCGGGCAGGAGCGAGGCGATTCCAGGGAGAAGGCGGAGCCGACGCCCGCCCGCGGCCCTTCCCGCGGCCCAGCAGCTCTGCAGGCAGGCGAGGTCCTGGCAACGTGTCCCGGCCACTCACCGGACATTTCTGAGCACCTACTGTGTGCTCGGGCCCAACCGCCTGGAGTTCCTGACTGAGAGGGGCTGGGCTTCAGCATGTGGGTGGCAGCCATTGTGATGGGGGAGGGGCGAGGGGATTGGCAGTGGGGGGCAGACGCAGCCCTGGAGGTGCCCGCTTGAACAACGGGGGCAGGTCTCGCTGGGAAGGTGGCATGTGATGAGGGTGGGAGAGGAGCGAGACGGGGGGAGGGGAAGTGGTCAGAGCCTGACCCCAAGGCACGACACCAGGCCAGTGAGCCCCGGGGCAGAGAGGCAGTGGGGGGCCGTGGGCCTTGGGGGCGGAAGTGGTGTGGGGTGGGGGGTGCTTGTGCCCCAGAGCAGAGGCAGTGAGGGGGCCGTGCAGCCGGGGCGGAAGTGGCGGGTGCTCAGCTGCTGTGTGGACCTGACTTCTCCTCCCAGAGAAGCGGGCGGCTGCCCTACTGAGTAGAAAGGAGATGCGGTGCAAGCAAGACACCCGCAATAAAATTCAAAGGGTTTCCGTCCTCATCCCAATTCAGAGAGGACCGGCCAGGGCGGCCACTCTCCCGGGAGTCCTAGTGAGCGCAGCGTCCCTTCGCTGCCTTCTCTAGCCTGCGTCCAGGCCAGCATCCCCAGGCCCTGGGGACTGGACGCCAACCTCCTGCTGGAGGAGGCCCAGGAGTGGCCCCTGACCACCGAGAGGCTGGTGTCCACGGGGTGGGCATGGCAGGGCTGGAGAGCGGTGGGCTCGGACGTGTGGAGGCTGGGCAGCTGCCGGGGAAGGCAGCGTGTCCACTCCAAAGACTGGCTGGGGAGGCAAAGCCCACACCGTGGCACCAGGGAGAGGCGGCCCCGGCCACGGAGCAGGGCGGTTGGCCACAGTCGCCAGCCGACCAGGCCCGACCCCTGGAGGTCAGCCGCGGAGAGGGCTTGGGTTTCTAGCGGCCTGGTGCTGGGCCGGGGCCAGAGGGGCCGGCTGGCCTGGGGAGGCATCGCGTCTCACTCCCCTGGCTTAGAAGACGCGCCAGGCCCCGACTGGCTCTTCCGTCCCGACGAGCCCCCCAGCCCGGCAAGGCACCCCTCAAAGCGAGCGGCCGAAAGCCCGGCCGGGTACCAACAGCGCATTTTATTCTGTGTCATCACAGGGCGCCGGGCGGCCAGGAGCGAAGGGCAGGCGAGGGAGCGGAGCCATGAGTGCCCCCACGCCGGGCCGCGCCCCGAGAGCTCAGCGTTCGGGCTTCCCAGTCGGGCATCAATGTGCAACGCACACCCCAAAAATATATACCACGGCGATGATGATAACAATCTGCAGGGTCCCCGAGCTCGGCGGCTGAAGGATGAGGCCGAGGAGCGTTCCACTTTTCACTCGGGGAGCTGACAAGCATGACTAGCGGGGAATAAAATAACATTCCGCTCGCATAAATATCAAGCAGCCTGCTCGAGACTGATGGGCCAGGAATGTATTCTTAGCTATCATTCCGGCAGACAGGCCCAAGGACACTCATAACTTATTTTACAATCATTTAGTTTCAGCTGAAGTGGAAAACGTGACAACTTATCTCTGCTGACAAGATGCCATATCGAACCTCACAATTAACTCTCCTCCGATTATCTGCCCAGCCGATCATTAGCCGGGCCGCTTTTGATGAACTGTGGCAGGGAGCGTCCGGGTTAGAGCCGTCACGCCAGGTGTGAGGACGAGGTTTTGATGTCCCGGCCATCTCCGGGGAGCGGCTCCCGGCCCTCCTGCCCGGTCTCCGGGCCTGGTGCCCTGCACCCCGCTGGCCGGGAGCACTGCACCCCACACACTGTCGGGGCCGCCGCGCTGCCAGCACCAGCGTCCTGCACCCCGCTGGCCGGGAGCACTGCCGGCACCAGGGTCCTGCACCCCGCTGGCTGGGAGCACTGCACCCCACACGCTGTCGGGGCCGCCGCGCTGCTGGCACCAGGGTCCTGCACCCCGCTGGCCGGGAGCACTGCACCCCACACGCTGTCGGGGCCGC